TTTTGGAAACTAGTGTGCAACAAAGAAAAGAAAAAATAATCTATCCTTCATTTTCCTTACTATAGATAAACTGTCAGCTCATCTGAAGAACTAAGCATACTGAGATTTTCTCTATATGTAGTGTATGTGTCTAAAAGTAGGTCATCTTTAACCTAAGTCTGGCCTTTCTATGTAAGAACATAAGTGGCTTCGTCCTTACTGAGTAGCCTGTATTTTACTGTGAATACAGATTTATTTTTTTTTCTGCCCATTTCTTCCAACATCTTCATGTGTTTCTTTGGTGTGATTCTGGAATTTACTTTCATCTGTAGGAGACAGATTATGTCTCCTTCCTGACTTACGTGATGGCCGTATGATCGAGTTGTGTTTATGTTTGCATATTATTGTGTGTGCAGATGAATAACATACCTTCAAACATTTCAAAATGACTTCAAAGAATGAACTAGACTTGTGTGAGATCTTTCTTTTGATTTCACCATGATGTCAAGCAGAGAGGTTGCACAGCAGTTAAAGAAGCATCAAACTGACTAATGTCTGTTAACCTGTTAGAAACTGTTTGCATCATGCGCATAAATTCTGTTTTCTCAAAATTTAAGCATAGAAAGAAAAAGACTTGAAAATAATGCGAAAATAGACACTACAGGATATTAAAACTGTTTTGGCAGAGGAAGCAATTTACCACTTCATGTGATCTTGTGGGAATGGAGATGTTAAGAAAAATGAAGGCTGTGATTCAACAACTATAACTGTAACATTAGCAATAATAACAAAAGCAGAGGCCAAATAAGTCTGGATGAGAAAGTAGCTGGGATGACAGGGTCACTGAGGGTTGACTCTTCAGCAATAAGTGGAAGTAAAATTATTTCCATGAATGTGTTTTTGCACTGCATGTTTTGCTTGTTATAAAAACTATCTAACAGGAATCAGTATTACAGACTTCACTGACGTTTAGTTAGCAACTGTATGATCTGATCAAATGAATGCATTTGGAAAACAGTTGTCTGGACCCATTTTTGTAAATTCCTGGCTTAAAACATTTGGTTCTGTCATCCAGCCTTTTGCTCAATGTAGTTAATATTTTTCATAATCCAGCCTCACAGAATCTCCAAACACAAGAGCTGAACATAGAAAAAAATCTGTGCACCTTGCTGACTTTGTAGGTTATCATCGCCACGTCACTTTTAGTGATCCTCACTTCCAGTGTGGAGGCTCCTTAACTACCATCTAAAGTAAAGTAAATTACAAAGTAATATGTAAACTGAGAAAAAACAGAAAACTCAAACCCAAAGTAGATTCAAATATTAATACCACCACCCCCACCCTTTTATTAATAAACAGCAGACACAGAACAAAAAAAGAAACAAAAAAAAGTCATGGCAACATGCAAAGAATATTTTCTTTAAACAAATCGGCTTTTTCAAAAGATTTCAGTTTGCTTAATAGCATCTCTGATCAAAGCCATTAACTTAGTCTGGTTGACAGCAAGATTACAGGAAGCTATATTTAGGTCAAAAATAAATAAATAAGATTAAATGCACATTTATTATGACTTCATAAAAAAAGTGTACACAATAATAATTCACTAGGTTGGCTCAAATGAGCTATTGTAACCTGGTTCAGTCCAGCAGGCTGGTTATTTTTTCAAAGGAAAGAGTGTCCTTTTAACAGCTAGGCAACTCCCTCACACTGCAACTAAATTAACCTCTCATGATGCACTAATACCAAATTTCTTTCACAGCTTGTTTCCTCACTAACTTAAAATCGTGTCTTTCCCAATTAGAGCATCACGCCTGTGTGTCTACTAAATAACCTTCAGTAAGCCTTGAGTCATATTAAATCATGGTTGCTCATTTGCAGATAAAATTAGCAGCCTAAAATGAACACAGACAACATAGTGCATGTAATGTGTCACTTATCCCTCTGGGAAAACAGTTGTTACTGGTTTGTTGTGAGTTACCAGAAGAAAACCAAAAAAAAAAAAAAAAGTCCTTTTTAATAATGACAATCTTTTCAGGAATGTAGTTTTATAACATGAGATCTGACACTTCAAAGAGATGGTAGAGTGTGCAGATGTAAAGTCTTGATTGGCAGTACCTTGTCAACTGTGCAACCAGTAAAACAGTCAAATTTGGGGTAATAATTGTAGCGCAGAAATGGTTTTTTATAACTGAAAATAATGTAAATTCGCCATGACATTTGATCCTGTGATTTCTTTGAGATAGTGGCAGGCGGTTATCACCACTTATCTCAAAGTATTCTTTCATATTCCCTTCAAAGACCAGTATCAGCTTTTACAAGAAAGAGGAGAGACCGAAAACTAGATTTTGGTGTGTGGGCTCGTGTGTCCTGAACAGAATCTGAGACAGGAAGCAAAACACATAAAGACATGTGAAACTAGTGTGCCAGAGAGAGAGAAAGCCTAGAGGAAATGTACAGAGTGGCAGAGAGAAGCACAGAGTTTTAGACAGGGCAATAGAGGCAAACACACACAGACACACACCCAGGGTAGGCCACAGTGCCATCAAACCCTGTTGTTTAGTCTTGTACTGCCATCTACTGTGGGCAGCAGTCAGTTCATTCAGGTTAATGAGTTATTTCAGTGAATATTTATTAACTAAATGACTTGCTACACACTAATCGCGTGCTATAATGTCAGTGTAATGCAATTCTGTGATTCTTTAAACACCACCACCTTTAAGTCCACCTCTAATAATGAACAAGTTACACATTAGTTGGAGATACAAAACTCTTGACTATCATTACCTGCATAATGACATTGACTTCTAGATAAAATGTTTTTCTGATGCACATTTAGTGCAAAGGTTTATAAAGAAAAAAAAACAAGGCATTACATTTGCTTTTGAGAAAGTCCGATTTTAGTTTTTATTTGAACGCACTGAGAATACAGTGTACACAGTCTATTTAAGACCCATTACTGTTACTGTTCATCACTGGGATTATCTGGAAGTAAAAGTTGTGTGTGCTAGGAGTGAAACTTTGTGTCTTTGGTACACTTTTAATGTGAAGTAGCACTGGGTTGTTTTGATCATCATCATAAAATTTTGTTCACTTGCTTCTTCAAAATAAATTAATATAATGGTAATGGTGTCATATTTTACCCTGTGGTCCATTCGAGTTTAGAGGTTGAGCTACATTAAATTTTTATTCTCACAGCTGCTAATGGCTGCCCAGTCTAATCATAAAACCTACTGATTTGTGACAAGGCTTCTGATCTGAGCAGTTTCATCACATACAAAGTAATATCATGTTAGGAGATAAATAAACCAGCTTTTTGTCACTGCAGCCCAGAGTTTGTTTCTGAGCAGTTTTTTGTTACAACAGTATATTCTGCTGCTCCCAGTTAAAGACGTTACTCACATTCAGGCTCGTGTTCTCACGCTTTTTCTCTGGTTTGATGCGCTAAGCTTCTGCTCTCAACCAAATCCTGCCATCTAGTGGATGAACAGCTTTTTGGATTCTGCATTTTGAGGCCTGAACATTAGCATTTTGGCCACTACCGTGTTTTCTGTTTTGCTTTGTTTTTGGCTTGATTTGTAACCAGAAGTTGCTATATTTAGAAGAGAGGCTGGCATGATCAGCTAACAGCAACTGCATTCATAAACTGTACAGTGGGTCAAACATATTTTTGTTAAATGTTTGATAAAACACTAGAATTTCATTAACTAAAACTAAAGCACAAATTTACTAGATGCCCTATACTACACAGCAAGTGTTAAAGGGTTCTATTAAGAATATTTCAGAATGCAGGCACAGTGGAGAGGTCCAGTTCAGTGCGCAGAAGTGAGGCCTAGCAGGCAATGATGAGCTTCAGCTGCCCGTGTCAGGGGATCTGTCAGTCAAAACCAAATGGATAACTAATGAAAATAAATAAATAAATAAATAATTATTAAAATTCAACAAGGGGTGATTTTTATAAAGGGGGAAACTATAGTGGCCAAAAGCATATTTTTTACCAACCTATAAAAATACCATTCCCTAAAGTTGGGCCTTTTTAAATTTAATTTATTTTTCCACCCTTATACTTTTTTCTTTTCTTTTTTTTTTTTTAAGTTACTTCACATTTTACAGACACTTACTTGGAAATGTAGCACACTTAAAGAAAAGAAATTGAAGAACAAAATAAAATAATGTTCAGGGGTTTGTAATATTGTCTCCAGTTATAAAAAACAATATGCAATTTCCACTTTTGGTTAAATTAATCATACCTTTTGTTGAATTTTAACAAGTCCTGCTAGAAAAGGACCAACTGAAAATCACGATTAATCTGTCTAGACTGCTCTACCAATATGCAAATCAATACAATGAAAAGCCCAAAGTAACAAAAAACTTAATGTGTGATTTTGAAAATTCTAAGTGCATACTCACATGTATACTTAAAAAGTTTTTCAAAGGAAAAAAGCAGTAATGAAAATCACTTCACAAAAATTAAATAAATTGCCTCGTCAAAAGTCAGTGGTTCGGTCATAAAATAAAACTGCTCTGAGTCATTTTTAACAAAATAAAATTCACCTTAAGGAGGAAAACTTTTTTGTAACGTTTAATACTGGTCAATCGGAAGCACACTGCTTCATGCAAGCTAGCAGTGTAGTGGGTATAGTGTGTGTCTGTCTGCTAGAGTGTGTATTACCGCTTAGCAGCATGTGTGGACATGCTTCTCATTCCACCAGTGACAGCTATCAGCTGTCCTCCTGTTGGCCTTCCCGTCTCTGTCTCCTAAAGTGTTAGCATGTTTGTCTTCACTGATTTAAGCCAAGCTTTCTTTATGTCTGACTGTTCTTTGCTACTCCGTTTCATTGACAGAGCCTGTGTTGGGTTCAGTGAGAGAAAATGATGATTGTGCTGATTTGTGTATATTCAATTCACAGACACACACACACACACACACACAGTCCCAGCTGTCTCCTCTGCATGACACGCGCTGAGAGGTCGGGATGTTGTTGGGTGGGGGAAGTAGAGTTGACCATAAGAAACATGAGCTCACATACTGGATGATCCCCTTCCCACTACTCACTTCAGCTTTAAGGTGACTGCTACAGCTTTAGTGCATGTTTCTGTGTCTATGTAAAGTTAGCATACAGGTTAGATTTGGTTCTGACCTGATAACGAGTCAACAACACATTACCAAACGGATGCCGTGGATTTCTAAGCTGTTTCTTTAAACATCTGGTGGAAATATGAATGTTCCAAAGGTCCACCTCTTACTGACATGCATCCTCTGTGTATGTTCTGGTAAGTAGTCCTCAGTATGTGTTGATATTTCAATCTTATCAGTTATGTTTCAGCTTGCTGTAACAGTGCTGGTTCGAAACAGATAAAGAAGAAAGAAAAAGAAATATATTATTTAGAAAATCAGATATTAGAAATGGTTAATTACAAAGTACTTCCCATGCTGTGAAATTTTAGTCTTCTGTAAATTATGTTCTATAGGACCAGTCTCAGGAAACAGGACATCACTTTCTGACCAAAAATAAACACGTTAAGCAACGTTAATAATATTTTAAACAATCACAGAGGAGCAGCTGATTTTGGCAAATCCATTATACTGAAATCAAAGGGCTTCATCACATCGATGAAAAGCATAAAAATAAATCCAAATAAAAATCTCGAAGCATCATAATCATAAGATTGAATCCCCTGGGAAACAACTGGCACAATGAGAGATAGGCATTTGCTACTTCTGAAAAACCCTTTACAAAGGAGCAATGTCTAAAAAGAAAGAAAAAAAAAAAAGTCTCTGGTAATTGTGCTTTTTATGTATATGTGAAGACCATCTCTTTAGAGTTTACAGCTGCTGTATCGTGTTTTCACTGTGATGGTATTCAGTCTTTTGTTTTACTTGTAAATCATTTTTAAAATGACGCTGTGGTTTCATCGGTCCTTGAAATGTCCCATACCCACAAAAAAAAGTCTCTCCAGCATTGTTAACATTCCTTTTGCATTCAATACTGTGTATTTATCATTGAGCAGGTATGCATTTAGTGCCTTTGCCCAAGGACATTTAATTGTGACACATAGTTGTTAATCAACACACTGTTTCTTGGTGTACTTAAAACTGTGACCTTTCAAGTACTAGATAGTTAAATAACCACAACTTCAGTACCAGAATACCAAAAACCTCAGAGTCTTATATTCTCTGCATTTTCGAATAAATTCCTGCAAGGTTCATGAGGTTTATGCTACTATTTTTCCCATGGAGTATGGTACTTTTCATCACCTCATCCCATACAAATGAATGCACGGTACACATATCATTTACTCATGTCATATACTGTTTTGAAAGGAAGATGAAAGATGCTCTGGTTCTATTTAGTATCAAATTACCTCAGCCACTTTTATCTCAAAGAACCTATAATAAGATTAACTGTACATGAAATCAGTCAAGGAGAACAAACACAAACATGTCCTCTGTATTGATGATACATAAAAATAGCACTTCAGAGTTTGTTTAAAAAAATAAAAATAAAAAAAAAACCTAAGGATTTAATATTTAGCAGATAATATGTACAAATGTATCCAAGACTAGAACATAAGGCTAGTGTATGTGCAACTGGAATAAATAAAATTAATTTATTCTGAAGTTTCTTTCAATCTCTTGAAAATAGGGCTGTGCAAGATCATCCACCATATCACTAATAGCAATTTCTACACTATGTAAAGGTTTTGTATTGCAATATCACTGCTAGAGAAATGCCATGTTTTTATGTTCCTTGGTGTGTACAAACAGGGGACAAGCCCAGATATGAGAGGGCAACAGCTAGGACAATTTATTAGATTCCAAAAAAAAAAAAAAAAAAAAAAAAAAAAAAAAAAGCTACTTCAACAACCTCCAACAAAGCACTGTACTTTGCAAAATATGGAAGAAACTTGGAAAACAGGAAAAGCAAATGGTGGATGGAAATTACTGATGTGGTTATATGCAAGAAAAGTAGGGCTTTAAGCAGCTGGGACACAATATCCAAGTCAGAAAATACTTTTATTATGTGACAATATTGCACAGGTTCCAAACATATATTGCCGAATCGCAACTATTGCACTGCTGCTACTGCTGGCACCTTGTTTCAATGCATTCCTACTTCAAATTAGGTAGTGTGTCATCAATGACAGTAGCTCACTAGAAAAGAATGGAAAATGCCTTTCATTTACTTGCGAGCATCAATCAAATTGTACTTTTTTGCTTTGCTTTTTTAATATTGCCAGAAATATAATTATATTATATATAATTAAATAGAATTATAATTAATATATTATAAATAAATTAAAGTGCTGAAAACACACAACCACTGGCAGCCAGTAGTTTGTTACTTGTCCACACTGTTGGTGTCCACCACTAATCCGGGAATAACATATTTTTCTATTTCAATTCAGTGACTCATACTGATAGATTTCATGAAACACATTGATGATAAATTGATGTAAGATGGAGGTGGTATGTCAGGATGAATGGGTGTAGCATGTAAGCCACCAGTTGGATATTATCTGCATCACTGCAGACGTGAAACAAAAATGGATGCTCATAAAGAATTTGAAAAGGTTTTTATTTCAAGATGTTATGAGTGTTCCTCGAAACACATTTACTAGGGTCTTATATCGACATTTCAGCATGTCAAAACTCTACTTAAATATAGTAAGAATTAGATATTCAGATAAAAAAAAAAAAAAACAACTATATTCTACAATGGCATATCATGTTTTAATATATAACCCTAACCCTTTGAGCAAAAACCATCTTTTTAGATTGGGCTTAAGAATTCACAAGGTACCAGAGATAAGTTGAAATATGTGTTTTTTAAAGGCTCTTGTTTGCCAAAAAGTTCTAACAATCTGTAAATTGTAAATAAAAGCAGAATATCATGACTGCAAAAAATTTACAAATATCAGATGGAAAATCTGTGATCTTAGACACCAGCTGCGTATGGTCCTGCTGGTCCACAGCTAACTGAATCTGAGATGGTAGAGTTTTCATGTTGGATTATGTCCATAGGAGAAGGAATTTTTGGAGAGGAAATGAAACATACTACTAGATTTTTTTCCATTTGTTACAAGGTAGTTAGAATATTTGCAGAAAATAACCTTTTAGAGGCTTTTTTGAATAATTAAGTTAATAAAGTATTGGTGTGTCATCCACACCCCAACTCAACTACCCCAATAAATTTGGCCCATTCCAGTAAGACACATGAAGAGAAGAGAAAGTGAATCCCAGTTCCTGTTATGGACACACGTAACTGTTATCATAGACACAAACATACCAGTTCAACCATATTTAACAGGATGCTCCAATTAAAGTCCACTATATGGAAGGCAAAAAATTCAAAGCAAAGCCAGGCAGACAGATGAGCTAGTTTAAAGCGTAACTGGTTACTTGAATATCTTAAAAAAAAAAAAAAAAAAAAAAAAAAAACTTGCTCAAATACAGTCACAGTAACAACTAATTATTTTCCCCAGAAGCGTTTGTCTGCACCTTCTGTGTGCTGACACTCAAACTAGTGATCTCTTTTCAAACGTTTCAAGAGCCCATATGAAACTGCATTAGACAAAAAGATTTTTATTTTGCAGCAGCATCATGTGAAAATGCAGAGTGTGGGCAATGACTGACAGCTCCAAGTGGCTCCCATGTCCCGCCTCTTCTCTATTTTTGTATGTGGTCAGATCAAAGCTTCTCAGTGCAACAGACAGATGACATGCACACAGCAACAGGCACAGCTAATGGCAGACAGCCAAGGAAATGAATATCAACATTGCAGACAACGACACCACACTCATTATACAGATCTCCGATAAAGATCCCAAATGAAACTTTGAAAGGAAACCAAAACATGCTTTTGTGTGCATGTGTGTGTACATGGTAGTGGCTTATACTATTATACATACATACACACACTTTGGCATCTTAACTCAATCTGACTGCTCTCCAAGTTCTGCTTTGTGCACCACAAATTGTGTGTCTTGTAGTATTAATGTGTATATGATGTTTATTTACATTCAGCTAGATATGGGCTGGGCACTGTGCATGTTCTTGTAACACATGTGAGGAACCAGTTTCAGTATTAACATTCAGTAGCAACATCACAGACATCATGTATTATGTGTTGTGAATCCAACTTTGTTTTCTTTGGCATGTTAAAACTCAAGAAGACACTCTCAGTCTGGAGTCTAAAACCTTGTTGGTGCCCACCACAACACATCAATAATGCCTAAAACAAGCAAAATCCTGATGCGTTATCAGGTGGTTGAGTCTTACCAGGGAAATAGCAAAAGTTGTAAACCTGAACCATAAAGTCCTGCTCAGACTTATTGCTCAGATTGTACACACAAACATAACATGCTTAGATTTAGCGTGTCTGTAAATCTGAGAGTCTACTTACTTATATGACTACAACTTGTAAATTGCATAGGTTGCCTGTCCTGAAGCACACCCTGTGTTATTGCTTTTATCCAAATTTATCTTACATATTTTTTTAAAGATCAATTTTGTGGCTTTTTGCCTTTAACAGTTGAGCAGTGAAGAATAGACATGAAGGAGATGGAGAGAGCAGGGGAAGGGCAAAGAGCTGACGGTTAACCTTCAACCTGGGCTGCTGCATTTCAGCATATGGGCACCTGCTCAACCAGTGAGCTAAAATGATTGCCCTTTTTTGGTTACACTAATGGGATCATAAACCTCATATTGTGTTCAATAAGTGAGACCATAAACTCTTTAGGAAAGTGGCAGTGATTTGACAAACATAAACTGCTCCATGTACCTGTAGCTGGTAGCTATTTTATAGTAGAGTACCCCTCCAAGTCAGAGTTCACAACAACTAAGTGTTTGTTTTTTGCTTACTTTCAGAAATGCCTCCTCTCCAACTAAGGGGTTAAATTAAGTTCTCAAAAACCTAATAAAGACTAAAAGTGGTACTCACTCCCAAGGTTGCTATTCCTTGGAGAAATTTCAGCTGTAGAGAAGCAGTTTAAATATAGAATAACACTCAATTGTAAGATAACACTCACTTTTTCAAAACTTGTATCTATTCGTTTTGATAATCTGGTGGTGGGGAGTATAATGTGTCTGAGGGATGTTACCCTGGTGGACTAGCAGCAAAAGACTATGTTGAAGCTTTAAGTTTGACATTAGTGTGTCAGTTTGGTAATTTCTCCCATTAAATATATTATGCCCCTTCACATGTACCAGGTGGCTTCGTTTTCTATTCAGATTAAATGTGTGCCTCAGTTCTTCAAACTACATGACAGCATCAGAGTTTGGTGAATACAGATGTATAAAGCACTCTAGGACACTAAACTTTAAATGAAGCATCTATTCTTTCTCTGACCCTTTTTATTTATTTATACACACACACACACACACACACACACACACACACACACACACACACACACACACACACACACCAAATTTAATCATATGCTTTACAACAGGACTCTTTGTTTACTTTTGCAGTAAAATATATTTTGTGCCTACATACAGATTGATTGTCTTTTCTTGTAGTAATGATTGCCCACTCCTCTACAGGGAAGAAAAAAAAAAAAAGTAGCCAAATTCCCCAAAAATGCTAAACTGTGGATTTTACTTCACTACTCATGGATCAAAACCCTCATCAGAAACACATGTCACTATTTAACAAACTAACTGCTGCAGAAAGGAGATGATTTTATTAGGAGAGATAAATAACTGGGCAGCAGCATCATTAAAAACTCATCAGTCAGGAGTGAGCCAAAGAGATGTGACCATTGTTCCCATTAATGAGGGTTTACAACAATAATTACAGCAAAATGAAACACTTTCTGAATGTTTTTACTCTCCGGCTTTTAAAGTTCAGCTAACACACAAACTTCAACACAGGTGGTGTCCATCCAGAAATGTTTGATAAAAACTTATCAAGTTTGACGCACTGACTGTTTTTGAGATTTTCCTTTTTGGTGATACTTTGACATTAAAATGACTATAAAACTGAACTGAATTCACACAAACTGCAGATAAACTGATTAAGTGTCTCCTACTACCAAAGCCATTTCAAAATAAAAGCCTGTCTCTCTCAGCAAAAGTAAACAAACCTGCCTGCCATTACAGCTGGAGGGCTGAACAAAGTGAATGAGAACATCTGCGTATGAACTCAAAGGCATTACCTCCATTTAACATTGACTCCATGAGGAATGATGGATGGCCAGATGCTATTTCCATTAGATAAAGGATTTTGCTTTGTATTTCCACGTTTAAATGCAGTTTTTGTCCTGTTGACAAAAAATAAATAAATTCTCTGTCCACCTTCACAGTAATCACCATCTGAGCTTTCTTGTCTGCAACTCAGCACAGAGAGAACATGCAAACACAAAGGACATGTTTAGTGGCATGCTCCCATTAATAATCTGTAGTAATCTGACTTTCTGTCCTGATATCCTGTATTTGCATAAGACTTCAGTGAAACTGTAGCTTCATGTTAGACACAGAATGTTGAAAAACATCCTATAAAAGTACAAATACAGTAAAATAAACAAATAACACTCAGATGCTAGTTTATTAATGGGATTTTCCTTTTATTTTTTAAATTTAGCAAACATGTTTCTGTATAACTTAAGAATTCACATAGTAATTTTGAAAAAAAAAAATCCAATAACATAAAATCATGAAGTGTTTATAGTTCATACCTAAAAGCTGAAAGAATGGCTTCACTGTGGGGTTGGGAGATTGACCTACTTTTGAAGCCAATCTCAAGTGGACATTGGAGGAACTGCAGGGTTTGACACTTCACAGTTTCCTTTTTTTTTTTCTTGCCATGGATGTTGATGGTTGGATGTGCCCATATTTCCCATTTGATCAGACACTAAGTTTAGAATTTTGATGCACATCTGTTAATGTCTTCACTACGTTTATCAGACAAATGTATACTGCAGCCTGAAAAACCATAAAGCAGCCAATAATAGTACAGTCTTAATTTCTACCCAAGTGCAAGATGGTACATTTAACTCACTGATTTGTCAATGAAAAAGAGATCCAATGTATTGTTACATCTGATTAGGAGAATCATCAAGTGGATTTATTATTTTGTTGTTTGTGTGTTGCTCAGAGTTAACGAACATTGTGAAAAACATGAAATACCATTGTCCGCTCCTCTTCACTTTCTCTGCAGGAGAAAAACTCTCCCTGAATACTATCCAGGTGATGTTAAACTTTGTCAAGGACAACCCGCAGCTCCTCAAAGAATTGAACTTGGACATGGAATCAGACGTAGATTTGGAGGAGTTCAAAACCATATTGAACAGACTCCCTGGTCAGTGATGAGGAGATTTTCTAGATTTTATATGCATCTAGCTTTTCTTGAATCTTCTATGCAAGAAAAACCCATCCCCTGTAGGAATAATTAACATTTTTATGTATTTTAAATGTTGAATTTAAATGTCTTTTTTTTTTCTTTTTTTTAAATGCAGCAACATACCACAACAACAGTCAAGGCGCTTTATTTTGTAAGGTAGACTGATAATACATACAGAGACAATAATCATATGACCCCCTATGAGCAAGCACTTTGGCAACAATGGGAAGGAAAAACTCCCTTTTAACAGGAAGAAACCTCCAGCAGAACCAGGCTCAGGGAGGAGCGGCCATCTGCCGCGACCGGTTGGGGTGAAAAGCTATGAGCATTGTTTTTGTTTTGTTAATTTAAGATTTTCTCTGTACAGAAAAATCTGATTAAGGAAAAGGCAACTAGCAGAAACAATGTAGCAAATGGTCTGCTTATGTTTTTCTTTATTTTGTTGTATGTCTTTGTGCGTCTCTCCTGTTTTGACCTTATGGGTCTGTGTGTGCCTGCAGAGCACGTGAAACAACATTTGTTGAGCAAGACCAGCTTGGATCTTCCCTACACCTCAAATGTTCATTCTGATGTTCCACAAAGACAGGATATCCTACAGCCCCCCATGCCATTAGTGCAAGGGCCCAAAGGAGGTAAAATCTGAACTAAAGCATATTTTAAAAGGGATGGATGGATGGATTTTCTACTTATTTTATCTGTGTTCCAGCCTCAGTAACTTTGACACAGTAACATCTGCTGAAATTTTTACACCTCCGATGAAATGTCACAAGCGTTAGCTTTATTTTGATACCAATATTGTTTGCACAGACTTTGTAATTGCAGAGAAATACCCCATTCATTTTTGACATGTCATTTTTGCCACTGTCAGCTATCGTTATCCTTTAAAAAGGGACTGTTCATGGCATTAGGGAAAATTTCTTTAAAGTGGATGCAACTTTGCATCCATCTAATGCTTAGTGAATCAAACTATTTATCAGCAGGAAAAAATAATTATGTTTTATGAAAGCCCAACATGAGCTGGTATAAATGTTTTCTGTTTAGTTAGCCAGCTCTCATCTCATCAGCTGTCATCTAAAGTAATTTATTTTTAATATGTAAATTAATTACAATTGTTGGAGGATGCAATTCGATGTTAAATGACCTCAAAAACAATTAAAGGGCATGACATTGGTAAGATTCAAAAACTAAATTTTCCAAATAAAACCACAAAGTAGATCAATATTAACCGCAGCCTAAGAGCCTCCTTATGGACCAGAGTGCCTGGGTGAATCAGCGGCCCAGACAGAGTGCTCCTCTGAGAGAGAGAGAGAATTTGCTCATGGTGGCTAAATGAAACCAGATCCGAGCTCACGCAGCTCAATGTAGCCAGCCAACAGATTCCCAAAATAATATGCAAAAGCTGTCACCTGCTCACAGGGCTGTTTGCTTGGTCACGTTAGACAAAATTACATGATGTCTTTGCTATGATACTCAGATTACCAATACACTGCCTCTTTTGCTTTTTGGGTCCTTATAATAAATACAAGTAAATAAAATATTTATTTACTTTGTTTTTATTATTTATTTATTCATTCATTTTTTTAGGGCCTTGTAACTAAAGTAACTAAAGTAAATAGTTTCTTCAGTAAAGTAATGGTGCATTGGTACACATTTTTAAAGCAGTTTATATGTGACAGAAGTATTCATGTACTTTATATCTCACAAACTGACAAATGCCAATAATATATTAAAAGTTAAAACTCCCAGTACCATTAGAAATGAGTAGACCCACTCTGTAAACAGAACTGAAAGCAAACTAAATTTAGGACAAAAATGTGAAGCTAATGGAAAATGCTAGACTATTAAAACTCCTGTTGTTGGCTTGATGGTTGTTTGCTGTCTTGGTTTATTTATCAGACAAAAAAAAAAAAAAAAAAAAAAAAAAAAAAAAAAAAAAACAACTACCAGGCTGAATTTCATCAGACCTAGTGGAGAGGACAAGCATGGGCAATAAAGGCAAAAAATAAAAAATAAAAAAAAAAATTGCAGGGCATGGTGCTCTCCATGGTGCTTCGGAACCCAAGCTGATCTAAACTTAATGTCAAAGGATTAGCCAGGGTTGGTATTCCCAAACATCCTAAGACCCCAAAAGTTCACTAAGGACTCATAGGACTTGCAGACTTATAGAAGCAGATTTGATTACAGTGTTCATAGGACATTCAGTGCAGAGGCTTTTCACCAGTATAAAATGACCACCATTTGTTGCTGTTGATCTTTTTGCATCTGTCCATCCCCGCCTCTGTCCTTCTCTCTTCTATATGCACTCTAGCTTTCTCTGAGATAAACGCAATGTTTCAGATTACATGTGGTAAGTCAGGCGTAGCAACAAATACCTTTGAAAATAATATTGAGAAGCTAAATTAGAATAGAGACTAGAATATAATAGAATAGCCCTTTATTGTCATTGTACACTTCAACAAAGTCCATTCTGAAAACCACTTGCCTTTTACGGATGCTGAATTTTGAAACATTGAAATATTACATTGATGTATAAGTGATAAGAACAGGAGCAGATGAGACAGTCAACAGAAAATATCTGAGTCCTTCTCACCCTCTCACTTCGTCTGAAACTTGAGAAGAGACCAGGTAAGTAAGGGGAAACCACACACATTGAAACATTTACCAGAAAGTAATATCACCATGGTAACAAATGTGAGACAAAGCAATAATCCAAAGGAACTACATCCGCAATACTCAAAAATACACATTTTGGTCCCTACATCAGGAAAATGGAGTGTAAATCACAGAAAATGTAATTTACTCCCTTCCCTGTCACTTCAGAGAAAATACATTTAGGGATACTTGGGTGGCAAGATGTTCTACTTATCATGTAATGCTGTCAAAGTGACTTCAAAATATAATTAGTAATGGCTGTGTGGTGAAGAGTTAGTGTGCAAAAATCAATACATCATAAGTAAAATTCCTTCCAATAAATCTGACACTTTTTAAATTAATAATTCGACAACCCAGACTGTCTTCAGCTTCTTTATCGATCAGTCTGCTAAAGTCTGACACCATTATGCTGTCGGTTTCAATCCTCCTGACTGCCCAAACTTTATTTTTGTTTGTTCTAAATGTAGAATGTTGCTCAAACGATGAGACGACGCTGGTGAAACGACTGTTCACTGGTTACAACAAAGTGGTTCGTCCTGTTAACCACTTCAGTGAAGCTGTAGTGGTTACTGTGGGATTACAGTTAATACAGCTTATAAGTGTGGTAAGTCTGTAACTCTTTGTCTGCATTTTACATGAAGAAAGATATGACCAGCTGTCACCACTGTGTTGTTTCTTGACTTTGACCTTTTGACTGTAATTGCAGTTTCTCTAAAAGGACAAACAATCAATCAACAATTGTTGGCTTAAATTTCAAATACTAACCAATATAATGAAATTACAATAACCAAAGATTTTTGATTATGGAGGAGCTGGCCTTAAGGTGTTCAATGAAAAGGACTATGGTGACAGGGAATGATTTGTTCACAAAGGTAAATGCACCTTCATAGTCTTAGGCTGAAATTGGACAAACTGGAAAGTGTTACAGATGATGACTGTCTAAATCAGACAGGGAAAAATGCTGCAAGACACAGTAACTGAAATGAACCCAGAACTTACTTGTTGTTGATGTTAGGACTAAAAACTGGGCAAAGGCACTGAATCACAGACATTGTTGCACTTTTGATTCACTATGGTTAGACCACTTAGGGGGAAAAAAGAAAGAAAAAAAAAAATCAAGCAGTGGTCTGTCTTTATTTATTATTTATTTTCTCAAAGAGAAGAACTTTACGCATGGAAAAGGAAATATGCTTAGACGATATTGGTTCTCTTTGGATCTGCCTTCATATATGAACAAACATTCTCTGTGGTGAAGTTCAAGCTAATCCAGATCCTCTCGTGGTCATGATCACCTGCCTGCTGTCCTTCATATTACAACCTCAAACGTTGGACATGACTGCAGTGCACGTGTTCAAGCCCAAACAGACCAGATTTCTCGCAATGAACAGGGGAAAAAAAAAGGAAAAAAAAAAAAACCTTAAAACTGCAGATTAGATCATAAAACTGAAAGTAAAATAGCATTAGCACAGAGTTAGGTCTTTAAATTTGTTTTGGGTAATGTTGAATCAATAATGATAAACTAAGTGTCTTTATTATCCCTGTTTTACATTTTCATTGCCTTATTGTGGGATCTACACTTAACAGTAACATTTATAAAGAGATCAAAATAATATTGAGCAGAACTGAGTTGAGCTTATTGCTGCATTGCCCCACAACTTTCTCAGCTTCTCATGTGGCCCCAAAAAGTAATTAATGCAAACATATGTAACTCCTGCCAAATAAGTGCACAAAATTGACAGAGGTTAAAGGAACACTGTCTTTGACTGAAAAATAAAGTATTTAGAGAGGAGTCATGTGTCAATATGATCCCAAGCTTTTCTTTTTTGACTGTATTCAACAGCAAAGCAAAATAATAAAAAGGACCATACATAATTAAATCTCAGTCAGTGCCACAGAGATAATACCATTATTCTGGAAAGAAATTATTATACCAAATGTTATGAACTGGATAAGACAAACAAAAGAACATACGTAATGAAGTCTTTAAAAGATGAGGACTGCCATGTGCTGATTTGGAGGACCAGTTATGTTTTTGTAGTGCCCTGTATAAAACTGGAACTCCAAAGAGTGGACATTTTCCATTATATAAAATTAGAATAATTCATATCAAGTCATGCAGCAATATCACTTTGGTTGGTACTGAACACACCAAATCAGTTCTGAAAACCTAGATAACACATGAAGAAACCAAGAAACCAAGAGAGTCAAATAACACATATGATAAGAGATATCACGCCACAAGCAGTTACTTAATCTGCCACATACATACCCAAATCTCATTTATACCAGGAGATGACAAGCCAACCAAACAACCAAGGTGTTTTGGGGGTGTAGACACCCTGTTAAGACCAAGACTTGAACTCAGACATGTTCCACAGACATCCTGTTAATCTTGATTAACAACTGAATTTAAGACACAAGAACCAGGATAACAACAAACATATAGGATGGCACAGCAGCCTCAAAGAAGCGATACAGGTATAAATAAAACAAAATGAGCAACTGTCATTGTGTGTCCTTCTATGCTTATTAAGTCCATGAAGATGACTAGGTTTGACAGTCTCTGGGACAGTCCCTTCATCCATTTTATTCCTCTTAACTCATTCACTGCCAGCCATTGGCAGTGAATGAGTTAAACCCATTGACTCATTCACTGCAATTGACGGCTATAGACGTCAATGGCAGTGAATGAGTTAAGAGATGGAAAAAGTCTTCTCGTTTCTTCTTCTCACTTCAGTTTTACTCCAAGCAGTTTATAGTGGACAACAAATTAGTATTACCAGTGCTGACAAAAAAGATGAAAAGTTGATAACGTCAAGAGGGTACTGCTTTGTATGCCAAACCAAAATAAAATAATCATAAAAATGTTTGTATCTCGTGTTAACTAAAAAATGTAAAATACAAAAACATGAGAAAGTGTTTGTTAAAATTTTAGTTAATTTAAATCCATTTTAGCCTCAAACATGAATGCTAGTTCACAGTTGGCTAATTTCCCTGTTAACCACAAAACCAAGGAAAAAATTTTTTTCAAGACATGAGCAATGCCACCTGTTAAACCCCAACGCCCCCAAAGCCGGGGGCAAGAGGGGGAACATCTGGTTTCATGGACCGTTTCTCAATATACATACTTGTGTGTACCTGCGTTCACGTGGACTTGTGATATGTCATCAGTCGCAGACCAAATATGCTTCCAAATCAAAGTACGCATCAAGTATGCTCAGAATTCCTGGATGTGTTCTCGCTCCTTCCATTTTATCAAGCATCGGTGGTGGCTTGGGTGAACTTGGTACAGCCAAATATCCCAGAATGCATTTTGTCCAAAACTCAAACGCAGCAATGGTGGAGGAGGGGAGCTAAACTTTTAAGATATTTCCAGGTGAGAATGTACCTGTGTAAACTTCAAATATCTGCTCGATTTATAAAGACATCGCATATTTGCAAAATTGCTCTGACGTTTTCGGAGACATCTGTTACCCCACCAGCTCAATAGCTCAGCGGTCCTCAAACCCAGGGCCACAGACCGGTACCGGTCCGTGAGTTGTTTGGTACCAGGCCACGAGAGTTGAGGCTCGGGTGTGAAATTTATGGTTTTCAGGGATTTTATTATTTTTCTATTGTTATTTTTCTATGGTTTTTATCTTTAACTCTGTTTCCCTGGGTCTTTTCCCATGTGTTATGACTAAATTTTCCTTTTTTTGGTACCGGTACTGGTTTTATTTTGTTGTATTTACAGCGACACCTTAGAGGACGGTCTGTGAAAATATTATTACTGGGCCGTGGCGCGAAAAAGGGTGGGGACCGCTGCAATAGTGACAGGGTGGTCAAGGCTCACTGGAACCGGCGAGAACAGCGGACTCCCGGTACATCGTTTTTAACCCCCCAGCGGTCTTTTGCACCACAGGTTAAACATGATATATAAGTCACTTAGCTTCTAAAAGTTAAGGTTTGGTTTATTTTGGTGTTTTATTTGTTCCTGAGTGAATCAGTTTGGCTGAGATTAAAGTTAAGCTTCATAACTGTACTGTTTTATTTAATACTTAAGTCTTACTTGGAGAGCTGTCAGTGTATTTTAAATTTCACCAGTCACACCACCTGAAGTAAAATGTTCTGTTCTTATTTAAAAAGCTGGGGGAATTAAATCTAACATTAAAAATATTTAAATTCAGGAGGAAACATTTTCACTGGGAGCAAAAACAGCATGTTAATACATGGAGATCCTGAAGCCTACTCCAAACATGATCAGATTATATTTTAAATATTTGTTTAATTCTTTTCCAAACCTCAGCAGCTTGTAAGTTTTGAGTGTCTACTAAAATGAAAATAAAACCGTTCTACCATCTCACCTGTTTGTTATTATTCACACACACCTATCCTATTTTTATTAATAGAGAGAAAAGCTTGTGTTTCTGTCATGTAGTGATTGTGCTTAACTGTATGAAGCTTATTAGACATTATGAAACAGATGACACGTAAAAGCGAATTTTGCAAAATTGCTTAAGATTTTAAAAAAAATTCTTTAAAAGAAAAAAAAACTACTACATTATATGTAATTGCTTTCATGTCATGTGCAATTTCCATTGCAAATATGAATCACAGTTAAATTAAGAGGGAATGGCAGGAAAAACTCCTGAATGGAGATGTCATCAAGTACACTAGCGTTCCAATTGTAGAATGATCGCGCTGCGTTCTCGGACTCCTGTGTGAACTTACAAAGTCTACTAGAATAATTGAGAAACGCTCCTCCTGTGGTATTCACAGAAACGGCATACAAAACATTGCTACGACCACTAAGACGACAAACAATTAAAAGCGCATTACAGCACATTCTGCAAAATGTTGTAAACACAAAGCACGAATGTTCGATTCACCTGATAGCAGGTACACGGACAATTAACACCTGGACTCAAAGCCGACATCTCGCAGATTCCAAAACAGCAAGTTTCGTCACACTGCGACCGAAATTCACTGGACCAGCAGCAAAAGAAGACCAAAACTATGATTCATTTTTAGAAAACAGTGAATTATGTCTTACCTGTGCTGTCTTTCTTGCATCGAAAACAAGTTTCCACAGCTGCCAGCTACATTAACTGAATAACTGCATCTCCCATAATGCCTCAGAGCCATTTTCTGTCAAAAAAAAAAATCGCCAAAGTCAGCCCGATGACAGAGATTGGACAATGGCAAGTGTCATGCGTTTGCTGCGCGTAAGTTTTTGGCTTTGCAATTTGCGTTTTGTTGGGAGTGACGTAAACGTGGTGACGCTATCCGTGATCCTATTGGCTTAAATGGCGGGGTCAATCATGCAAATTGGCCAATAGAAACCGAAGTGCCTGCTCCACAGAATTTAAAGTCTCAAAGACGCAGTGCAAAAACAAGGCCCATTATACCTGTGCGTGGGTAATCCTTCAATATATATATATAGAAAAAACCACTAAGCATTTTTAGGCATGCAATAAACTTAGATCATTTTTGCAGTTTAATTCCTAAGAAATTTCAGCTGTCACAGATTCTGCCAAGATGAGCCAAAATGTGCCAAATTGCAGAACCATCTGTAACTTTGGTCAGCAGCATCAGCCTTTGCACAAATAATGTCTATATGTTGATTCCTGGATTTCTGGAATTTATTGTCTACCACAGGATAATATCAAAGGGGTTATATGCTGTAACATTCACAAAAAAAATAAGCAGGAAAACAATCTTCTTACCTGTGTTCCATCCTCAGTTACTATGACGCAGTAGCATCTGCTGTAATATTTACACCTATGATGAAGTCTCATTAGTATTAGGTTTATTTTGATTGTTTACACAGAGTTTGTAATTGCAGAGAAATACTCTATTCATTTTGGGCATGTCATCAAGCTGGCACCTTTGGGGTTCAAGATGTTAAATTTGGATTATTTTTATTGTGATAGATAACTAAAATATGGGGTGATGCCAGCAAGAAATTAAACAAGAAAAAAGATGTTACCATCATTTTGTTTTGTTTTTACTTTTTACTTTTTAATACAGGTCATGTAAACATGTATGTGGGGTAGACATCACAAAATAAATTGTCATAATGTTTTCACCTGTTCTTGACCTTTTTGTCTGTTCCCAGGATGAAGTTAACCAAATTGTGACCAGTAATGTCCGTCTCCGACAGGTAAGTCTGTGTGACTACAGCTGGCCATGCATTATAACTTTAAGTGGGACTACACACCATTTGAAGGTTGGCCTAATGCTATGGACATCAGTGAAAGTTACAAGTTACCAGAAAATCACAAGCTTCGCAGCTTTTGATGAATATGATGCAAAGCAATGAAGAAAATAAGTCATAAAAAATAAATTAAAATATAATGTAATTGATTTCCTCCCAGCATTCCACTATGTCCCACACAAGCACTGTGTTTGTCCCACAGTTACTTTACTGGGATCTGGTCATCCCATTTAATCCTCTAATCGGCATCACATAGCTAAATACAACCTTAGAAGTGAAATAATGATCTAAAATTTTTACTCACTTTACAGCAATGGGTAGACGTTAACTTACGGTGGAATCCTGAAGACTATGGAGGAATCAGAAAGATCAGAGTTCCTTCATCTGACATATGGAAACCTGACCTTGTGTTATACAACAAGTAATTTTCATTTCTCTTTGTGTTAAAAAAAAAGCAAACAAACCTATATTTGGTGGTGGTGGTGGGGGGGATTAATGACTTGCTGCTCCACTTACATGCTTGGTTTTCCTTTGCCTCTGTCCTCTACCCTCCTTTTTATCTGCAGTGCTGATGGTGATTTTGCCATCATCCATGAAACTAAAGTCCTGCTAGAGCACACTGGCAAGATCATATGGAACCCTCCAGCCATCTTTAAGAGTTACTGCGAGATTGTTGTCCTTCACTTCCCATTTGACCTACAGAACTGTACTATGAAATTGGGAACCTGGACATACGATGGCCTGCTGGTCGTAATCAACCCGGTGAGCGTAAATGCTTTTTTTAAATCTGGGAATTTAGACTGTGTGCAAAACAGCTGAACGTGGGGACGCTAAAATGTTTGTGAACCACTGTCTTTTAGGAGAGTGATCGACCTGACCTCAGTAACTTCATGGAGTCAGGTGAATGGGTGCTAAAGGACTACAGAGGGTGGAAGCACTGGGTGTACTACACTTGCTGTCCTGACACACCATACCTGGACATTACCTACCATTTCCTGATGCTGCGACTGCCCCTCTATTTTATCGTTAACGTCATAATTCCCTGCATGCTGTTCTCTTTTCTCACGGGATTGGTCTTCTACTTGCCTACTGACTCTGGTATGTTCATTCTGCAAGCTTGATAGGTAACAGAAAACAATTGTCAGTGATTTTTTTTTTCAGATTATTTTGAACTTAGAGGTGATTCACTTTCTCTGCAGGTGAAAAGATGACTCTCTCCATCTCTGTCCTGCTGTCTCTGACTGTCTTCTTGCTGGTTATTGTGGAGCTGATCCCCTCCACTTCGAGTGCTGTTCCCCTCATAGGGAAATACATGCTCTTCACAATGGTAATGGTCATTGCCTCCATCATCATCACTGTTATCGTCATCAACACACATCATCGCTCACCAAGTACGCACACCATGCCGGGGTGGATCCGTAAGGTTTGTATGGGGGTATTTTTTCTCTCTCCACTTGTAATAAATGGGAAATATTGTTGCTGTTTTATAAGACTAGTAATATCATAATTTTATCTCCCTGCATCTCAGGTCTTCATTGAAACCATTCCCAACATGATGTTCTTCTCAACAATGAAGCGTCCCAGTCAGGAGATCCGGCAGAAGAGGCTGTTCCCTACTGACATGGACATTTCCGACATCTCAGGTGAGGCTAAACTGCAACTCCCATTACCATTATTGCATGCTAGTGAACAGTTTTAGTTTAAGTCTGTCCTAAAATTGTTGACCTTCCTCTCTCCTCTGTAGGTAATCCTACCCCGACGGCTGTCACCTATCAGTCCCCCATTGTTAAAAACCCTGATGTTCGTAGCGCAATCGAGGGGGTGAAGTACATCGCAGAGACTATGAAGTCAGATGAAGAATTTAACAATGTAAGAGAAAATCTGCATGAATTATTGATAGTGTATCAATCCATAAAATTTCTTAGAAGTTCAGAGCCTTGCATTCAACTCCCCAGCCATTCTTGTGCTTCTCTAAAACTTAAACGAATCTACAAGTGTAGGCACAGTAATCAAAACTTTTTACATTTCTGCTCTGAATCTGGATCTAAATGAAATGGCCAAAAAGACAATGATTTAATGGTTTCATTAATTAAATGGAAGGTTAGAATGACAGTAAGTGTGCCAAACAGTGTGGCCCCAGGAAGTCACCCCATCTGGGGAAACTCCGTCTAATCCACAGTTCTCCAAAAAACAACTACTTGTTATTTCATATTAATAAAACTAATATAATGTTTTGAATGTATAAGCTTACTGGCTTCTACATTCTCGATTAATCATTTCTACACCGAAGAGAATGACAGGAGTCTTTCTTATCTTCTGCCAATAAATGTAGTCCACAAAATCATATCTGACAGATAACTGGGCAACATTAGGTAATCTGATTTTCCACATCTTTTAGTAATGTTATTGATTCAATTGAAAAGCTTATCTCTTTTTGTGTCCTAGCAACTGATCAGTAAATTCCAAATATGTGAATGCTCAAAGTTAAAGTTTCTTCCATACCGTCTTATTGCAGGCAGCAGAGGAGTGGAAGTTCGTTGCCATGGTTTTGGATCACATCCTGCTCTGTGTGTTCATGGCTGTGTGCATCATCGGGACTCTTGCTGTCTTTGCTGGGAGACTCATTGAGCTCAACACACTGTAGAGGCCTTCATGATGGAGGAGAATGCATTTATCCCACTGTCCCTCACGCACAGATAGGCAGTCAAAGGTCGAGCTAATTTCAAAATTCTGTTCAGGGCCTTTAATTGTGTTGACTTTGAATGTGCAGATATTTTTTACTTTTATTGAGGAGTCTGCAGTAAAAACTCCAGGCATCTCACAGGTATGATGATACACAAATATCTTGATGGGTTATACTGGGTCACACAAAGCTGTTCTTGTTATTAACAATCCAGCATTTTTCTATTGTTTCTCTTTTATTTCTACAGTTGGTGATTGCTGCCCTCACAATTGCGCAGACTGTTATTTTACATGTAAAATCACGAACAGTAGTTGTTACGTTGTCATATTTGGCAGCTTGATTTAAGGTTTGTGTGATTGGTTCTCTTAAATGTTATTGTCAGATGTTGTCTTGGATTATTTTCCCCTTAGAACTTTTATTGATTGGTTTTGCCAGACATTCAGTTTGACAATATCTTAAGGGTTTTTTTCTACTATACTCACAAGATAATAGCAAGGTTTTATCAAGCAAATTTTTCCAAAATATGTTAAAGTCAAGCGGATCTTTAGTTACCCTATAGCAAGTAAAAGTGGTTCAAATAATTAAGATTGGTTAGTCAGCTTTGATTCCATTAAGTGAAAAACAATGGAAATACCACAGCTGCAGTATTGGCCAATGTGCTTTAACAAGCTAAAGACAGCTTGATGTATGTATGCAGCTGCGACAGACCATTTATTTTAGTATAATGATATGGTTCAGTCCTGCTGTCTGTGTTAATCATTTGTTTGTTTTTTTGTTTTAATTTGTAGTTTTCTAGATGTGGAATAAAGTGAAAAATAACATTTTGTTTTAGTGTTATGAAGTTCAGACTACACTGACAAATCACTGGATGTTTTCATTTCTTGTCATGTTCAAGAATCCAGTTTAATTTGTTTTTGTGTTGTTTTCTTACTTGGAAGAAAGGTATATGGTGGTCACAAAAGGACAGCCAGGGTCAACAATAGTCAGTGTGTCATTACACCACCACCAGATATTACCTGAACTGCTGATTTAAGGCAGGATGTTGTTTTTGTCAAATTCTGACCATACTGTCTTAATTTGCAGGAGAAAGCGAGACTTATTTGACCACCCAATATTTTTCCAGTCATCCATTGTCTGATTTTGATGAGCATGTGTGAACTGTAGCCCCAGTTTCCTGTTCTGAGCTGGCAGGAGTGGCACCTGGTGGGTTTGCTGCTGTAGCCCATCTGGTTCAAGGTTCCATGTGTTTTGCATTCAAAGATGCTCTTCTACATTCGTTAGTTGTAACGACTCATTATTTGACTAGATATTTTCTCATTTTCTGACTATTCTCTGTAATCCCCAAAAATGATTATGGAGGATAATCCCAATAGATCAGCATTTACAACAGCACCAACAATTACACCACCTTCAAAGTCACTTAAATCACCTGCCTTCCCCAGTTTGGTGGTTGGTTTGAACTTCTGCAGGTCATCATTGCCGTGTGCACCTGATTAAATGGAAAAATAATGTGACTGGCTGATTACACGTGTTAATTACACACATTAACACGCACTTGAACAGGTGTGCTTGGCAGTGAGTGAAAGATGGTCGAAGTAAATTTGGTTGTTCACAAAACCCATTTAGAGTACACAACCTGTGACTGAATAATTAATAAGTCCACTAAAAATCACAAGTGGTGTCTGACAGTGAACTGAAAAGTGATTTACGGTAATCTAAGAGAAGGATCATAATATTTAGGATCAAAACAATTAACAAAACACAACCACGGCAGTCCTTTGTTGTTGAAAAACTCTTTATTGGGCGTTCCAAGTGCAAATTTAATGACAAAAAGCATGGGTAGAAATCCATTTGATAAATTTAGGAAGGCAAAAACAAAACTACAAACGGAAAAGAAACAAGTATTACACATCAGGATGCGAGACACCATGTTGAGGATCTGGGACATTCTTTAAATATTTAACAGGCAGCCTCATATTTTGAAGTTATACACATATTTCACCAGCATGTAAAAATACCAAAAACGGTTTGTTGATATTGGAAGCATTAAGCTAACCACAAGTCAGTAAGATGCTACAGCTACCAGTTTTTTCCCAAACTTTGTAAAACAATCAGATGAAGGGAAATAACGGGATTAAAAAATTTTTTTAAATTCAAGTGATACTCTACGTGTCATGACAGGAGACTTGAAATTCACAAAGTGTTCTCTCCTTAACATTTGACCAAGGTTTAGCCAAAAATATTCTTGCCTCTGGATTCTTTGGGCTGTCCCAATCCTACCAGCCAACTTTTGGCAAAACTATTTTCCCCACGTCATCAGGGTGTGTCTCTGGGACCCAACCTGTGCAACACAGGTGATGCAGGACATTTACATTTGCATAGACACTCACCATTTCTCCTGGTTCCACCTAATAACACAACAAGCCAAAAGAAGAATTAATTCCCATCCCTTAAGCTATACAGCTAGGACTTAGAATAATGGCACCAGGTACCTACTGTGAACATTTAGAATGAACGTAAACACCGAGACATAAACTCTTTCAATATTTTATGATCTAATGTGTACCGAAACAGAATCAAGGAATACACTTAAATAGCTGTGAACACAATGGCAATAAAAGGTTAAGTGAGTACATTTATAAAAAAAAATGTCTGATTTACTAATAAAAACACTGTATAGCCAAATAAATAAAATAAAAATATAACTCAGTGCAAATGACGACGTGAAGTAGAGACGAAGCAAAGCAATGGATTTGGCAAATTATAATCCTAACTGAGTAAAACCATTGGCAATGAAAACATACAGATAAACTGGCAGCTTAAGCTCAAAGTCGTTTGTTTCTTCTGCTTGCTATACAGAAGTTTATTCAGCAATTTTTTCATTGTTATCAGCTAATAAATATTAATGTTATAACTAAGCTAATAACAGTTTTTGACAGGCAATATCTTGCAGACATTGATTAAAAGTAAGAGCTTAGTTTAAATGTATTCTGCACAAAGATGGCAAGGAAAAATAGAGTCAACATGTTTCCTCTGGTTAATCTAATTTTCCAGATTTGATGGCCAGTTTGTTTCAATCCAGCCACAAAATAAGAGAACACACACACACACAACAAAAAAAACACACACACACACACACACACACACACACACACGCAGATTATAAAGGAAATAAGAGTAATGAGAGTCATGTTACCCGTTTCCATCAGCATCAGAAAAGTGGTGAATACCATACCAATTGGTAGAGCACAGATTCTTTAGCGTAACAGTTGAAGTTAAACATTATTTAAATTCATTCTCTCAGCCTCTTTAAAAAAAAAAAAAAAAAAAAAAAAAAAGTGAGAATGAGTCTTTTCCCCCCCACTTTCAGTGAACATACTACAGCTAATTGTTTCTGTAATAAGCATCCTTCCTTTCCTTGATGCAATATTAGCCACACTCTGGTTTATTCCCCTCATTCAGCATTCAGTTTCAGTACTTTTGCTTCCAATAGATTTAAATGCAACTAACTGCTCATATCTCATTATTGGCAGTCTGGGACAAAGATCCAGTAATATAATGAAAACAAAAGAGAAACAAAAAGCATTACAATGTATGGGAATAAAAGCATACATGCATCAGCATTGGCTAAACATCACTATAACAGACGGTATCCAAAGAGATAAATGTTTTTTTATTGTCAGCCTGAAATATAGGATCAGGGACTTAAAATGGAAGATGAAAAAGCCACAGCAGCAGCAGCCTGAAACCTAACAGCATACTTGTATGCACATACTGTAAACACAACAGAAGCTGTTCTGATTCACAACAGGTTTATTCTGAGATGGACTTCATGTGTTATGCATGTCAGTGTTTGGATAGTGTAGGAAAATCCAGTGTTTCCCACACTGGATAAGGAGTGTTTGTGTTGACCTTTCGCTACAACTATCTGACATTCTCACCCACTTCAGGAAGTCATTTTAATCAGCAGTAATCCTCTTTTTAACGTCATTTCATCTGAGGAAAAACAATGTGTGAACCAGCAGTTCTATCTAAAACACTTTTTCTTATCAAAACCATACAGCATCCAACTACATTAACCCTAAAAGGACCTTAGAGTGTAAATCGTTACTTTAAGTTAGTCAGTGCACCTACAGAGCAATATCACCAATCAACCAACTACACAACAGAGAAATAGCCTTAAAATTCAAACTACAACCCTCAATCTGACTCCTTCCCAGTCATCGGATCAAACTCATGACCAAGATATGTTGGCATCATTTTTGGCAATACTGTTGGACAATTTCACTAATAAATATAAATAATGATGATGGTAATCCTTGTCCATCAATGCTGCTTTTAAATATCAATAACTATCCTGGCTATTACCATCACCTTCTGCCTGGACAGAACAATCACATCCTTGTGGACCTTTTCTGGCCTCTTAGAAACTACAATGGCTGAGCTCCTGTCTCACAGGGGCTGCTGCGACTCTGCTCTGGTTTATCCTCGGCCACCTCTTCCTGAACAATTTCTTCTTCTTCTTCTTCTTCTTTCTCTTCCTCCTTCTGCTGCAGCTGATCCTGCTCCTCTAATGGGCACTCGCTGTCTACTTCTTTAGTGATTCCTTCACAATCTCCCATCTCCTTCTCATCTGAGGAGAAAACATGCAAGGAAGAAAGGTATATAACCACGAAGCAAAAAGATAACAGAAGGGAGGCGTGAGAAAGAGCAAGCTTTGGGGTACCGTGAAGAGTTTGCAGTACAACGAATGATTGGTTTCTTGGATCAAGTGGTAAAGGAAATTAGCAGCATTCCTGTTGTTAAGGTTAACATTCTGTAAGCTTACAAGAGTTTACAAGAGTTCTACAAACAGATTTTGGAAGTAGCAAGCAATGTAAGGAGCTTTACTAACACACCCAGAAACCTCTCCTCTTCCATAAATTAAAGGGCCAGGAAGATCAACATCAGAGGCTATGGTATACGAATCTACATCTCAAGTACATGTTATTACATTTTAGGGATGAAAATGAAAAACGCTGTGATGTATAATGATTCATTTAGTGATGGGCAAATCCACTTGAGTTCTAGAAAAAAAGAAGAAGAAAGAAATCTGATGGTGTAAATTCTGTCAATTACACAGAAATGTATTGTAGAACTAGACTGTGGCAAAAGGAAGATTTGATTCCTGTTTGTGGAGGATTTATAGTTCATGTGGAGATTGGCAATGATTACATGATACAGCACATCTCCTGACATAAGTGCAGAGTAAATAAATTTAGGTCACATTTTCCAATGGGGTGACTGAAAGCACCTACCAGTCCTTGGATATTTGAGCAATTTAAAATTGCCCCAAAAATGTATATTAATGTTATTCGAGCTGAATGGGAATTAAATCAGGAACAATGGCATGGGGGTTTTTTTTCGATCATTTTCACATTTCTACATGGACTCCAAAGCAAAAATTACTTAGTTAAGAAGAAGGTCTAAATATTTTACACACTCAATGAATACCAAACCTGGGTCAAATAAGTCAGATCAAAGTCATGTTGTTTAAATGTATAATCTATAAGGATAATTTCAGCTCAAGAAGGATAATTTCAGCTCAAGAAATACAGGATCAGTGGATCAGCAGAAGCATAAAAATGTCACATTATATTTTTTATTTATCTATTTATTTTGTTTTGCAGTCTGGCTTTAAAATTTCTTTAAGGCAGGATAAAATCCATTTATGACTCTTATCAGGCCCAGGTCTGGTGACATCCATCACCAGCTAACACCCATCATTGCTTTAGTCTGATTACTGGTAGCAGTTTGGGATTGGCTGCATTCTACAGTGTTATGAATTCTACAGCAAAGAAAGATGGACCCATCTGGCGATAATCAAATCAGTTCAAATTATGCCAGTTCGCACAGCGCAGGGAGAGAAGGGGCAGGGAAACCTGGACTCCGCAGAGGTCGAGTCTCTGGTCTCTGTTGGATCTTGAAACTGTGGACCAAATTCCACGGAGCTGGAGCTTTTGCTAGAAGCAAAATCATACCATTAAACCCACCGATCACAGGAAATGTACTGTGAAACTTGCACGAATGCAGCTTTTGATCAACTGTTGACTGAAATACATGCTGAACTGCTTCTGCTTCTACTTGGTGCAGAGAAGTTTCTTGCCCAACTACCTCATGAACAGAAACTGCAAAACATGTAGCCTAGAAATTCTGTTCAATTAGTTCGACTGTGCAGTTTCATGAGCACTGAGCAAGAAAGCGGTTACAGGAAACTCATTCCATCTTGCTCATTGGAATT